CATTAGCCAGCTTTGTTCACTCTTTTGGGGATTCTCCCAAAGTGCGAATATCGTCTCCTTTCCAGAATAGCTTTGGGCAAGACTAAAAAATGGGCCTCCTGGGTAGACATCAGTAGAGCTTCCTTTATTCAGAAATGAAGTAGATAAAGATTTCTCAATCCGTTAAGTCTAGTTATGCACCAGAGCTCTTCGAAGCACTGCTCCTTCTCTGAAAAGACTGGAAGACTGAGGGCCTTCCCCAGACTAGAAGGCAGATGGGAGTTTCAGTATTTTCTGATACTTATCATTGGCATCAGCACACTGACATCACGAGGTCACAATGACTGTCATCAGATGGCAAGGCTGGGATTTCTACAGCGTGTAGGAGGTAGACATGTGGACTTCATGGTTGCTTCTAGTTTTACCATTATAAGATGTGTCCTAGGCACCCAGTAAGGGGTGTGTATGGGGAGGATCCTCCACTGAGTAGCACTCACCCTTCCATTTGCCAAAGGCACATCTACAATGAGTCTACGTAATGACCTTTAAGACCACATATGGCCCCCAGTGGGGAAGAGGCCCATTCCTTCTCTTCAGTAATAGGTTGTGTTTGCAGGGCAGACACCTTCATCACACAGGGTCTATTGCAACTGGAGGGGTGGCCAGATGTGAAACAGGGCTGCAGAGAGAGCCTTAATCTGCACCAGGCCAATGAGGGGTGACCCGGCTTGTGTTCTGTGAATACAGTGGAGGACAGGCCCATTAGTTATAGGCCAGAGGGCACCCGGCTGAGACTGCAGTGGTTCATCTAACATCATGCATTGTTTGAATCATCTCTGAATTACTCTGTGCTTCCACAGATTGCTCATTAAGACTTTCCTGTCATTCCTGAGCTGCAGTGTTCCCTCTTCTCTGAAAATTCTCCAAGCACAGAGGCTGTGCCTAGGACAGTACAGGGTGCACAGAAAGCATTCAGTAAGTAAGAGTTTATGCAAAGGGAAACAAAAAAACTTTTGGAGGTATGGCTACGTCTATTACCTTGATGGTTTTACAGGTGTATACGCATGTCCAAACTTAGCAGATCATATATGTTAAATATGTGCCACTTATTATTTATCAATTATACCTCAATAAACCTGCTTTTAAAAATTAAAAAAAAAAAGTGAATACACAGGAGCTTATGTGCTCACTTCCTTAATTAGATGGCGAACTGCTCCAGAGAGAACTTCTGGCCTACCCCCCCTTTTGGGGGCTCATGACAGCTGTTCAACATTGATTATTAAATGAATGAGTGACTTGCTTTATGAATTATCTGTGGAACAGAGGCCCTACTCCCTAGAGGCTTAATTGGGAGACAGCATGGTCCACTCCCCAGCACCTCCAAGATGGGGAATGTGGGGGGTCACCACAGGTGTCAGGGGAAGAAGTGAGAGGCAGCTTCACTCCCCAAGGCCAGCTGGTAAATGGGGAACACCAACCCATTTTCAAGCCCTTAGGAACAAGCTGTCACCCTGCAAGGCCAGGGGCGAGACTGCGCCCACCTCTTTTACAAAAATAGAGGCTGAACTATCACCAGACTCCTCTGATTGCCAAGAGCTTCCCAGATCTGGAATTAGAGGCCTCCGCCAACCAGCCTCCCACCAGAAGGAAGACTAAGACTTGGCTCAGACGGTAACTATTTCCTCAAGCCCTTGTTTAGATGTGGATCCACACTCACAGCCCTTATTCCAAACCATCACGCTCTTCACCCCCTTCCAAAGTCACCAAATAAGTCAAAGGCTGAGGCACTCAGCTCTGAGCAGATATTTTAAATTAATCTTAAAGCAACTTAAAAGGACTGTTTTTCTACCCTGTCCAGCACTCAGCACATTTTCAGTGGCAGCTGGGTCAAGCTTGAGTGGCATTTTCACCACTGACTCAACCTCAAAATATTCCTGGGCTGCCCTCGTCCCATCCTCCTTTTTGTTCCCTTGTTTTGAATATTCTCTGCCTCTCTCCCCACCCCTCTACTCACATGCACATGCATGAACATACACACGTGCACATTCGCACACTCCCCCACACTCCTTTTTAAGGTATGAGCACATCACACAACAGGCATTCTAAACCTTGGGTTCATGGATAGAATTCAGGGATCATATACTTGGATAGGAAAAAAATCATATCTTTATTTTCACTAACTAACTGAAATATAGCATTCTCTTCCATTATGAACATAGTCAACAAACTGCATTAGTGTTAGCAATGCGGTGTCTTTGACTATAATAGAAACACACACATTTTCATATCATATCAGGGTTATTGTCCTGGAACATCATTTATTTATGTTCATCACTGCTTCAGGATTATAATAGTTAAATTAGACTTCAAGTAGATCTTATTAGCATGTTAATTTAAAAGTACATATAATGCTGCTATTTTTAAAATGTAATCACTGTATTTCTTTATTTTATTTTTAACATGTAATTTAGATTCAGGGGATATTTTGTGCAGGTTTATTACCTGGGTATAATCCTATCACCCAGGTACGGGTATAGTACCCAATAGTTAGTTTTTCAACCCTTAGGCCCCTCTCTCCTTACCGCCTCTAGTCGTCCCCAGTTTCTATGTTGCCGTCTTTAAGTCCATGAGTATCCAATGATTACCTCCCACTTATAAGTGAGAACGTGTGGTATTTAGTTTTCTGTTCCTGCAAATAACCGTGTTTAAGTAATTGCTTTCCAAGCCTATGTATATTTTTTGTACATTTACAAATGTTATTCTGAGAAGGGGTCCGTATGCTTCACCAGACCAAAAGAGTCCATGGCACAGAAAGAGCCCCTGCTATGGAATGAGCATTAAAAGGTAGGATTTGGGATTTTTCTCTAGGGCCATCAGGCATGCGCCAGGAGACTTAGGGGCTAACAGGTGGTGTTCAGTGGTAGCAGGAAGTAGGTTCTGGGAGCAGAAGGACAACAGGGTTATTGGATAAGAGCTTGGATGGGCTTTGGAGACAGACTAAGACAGTGGCCCTGGCTAACCAACAGTATGACCTCGGGCCAGCCACTTCACCTCTCCGAGTTTCCACTTCTTCAATTGTAAAATAGTAATTATCATATACTATACAATTCTTAGTAGCATGGATTGAGAGAATCTATGTGTAACAGCAATTACTGCCCTGTTGAATGGAACGTGGCAGGCCCTAGAAGGGCAGTGTCCTTGACCTGGGAACTTCTGGAGCTATGGTATGCTATTTGCTTGGTTTTTCAGACAGGCACTATCTGTGCCCTATGCAGGCTTCCCATGTCCTTGAGCCTCAGGGATACCATGAAGTGCTCCAAACTCTAAAACATGCCTAGGCAGACCTAAGTCCTCCACCTCCCTTTCTGTCCCTTGCTCACTGAAACAGGCACGCAGGCCAGGCTGCAAAGCAGATTCCCTGCCCCAGAGCAAAACAGGCCTCAAGAAAAAAGAGATGTTCCAGATCTTTCCAAAACTGGCAATAGAGCCAAAGTACCTGATTCTGGCTTCACAGAACAGCTGGCTCCTGCCCTGGCATCTCATCACTCGGTGAGCAATGCAGGAATTCTGAGATCTAAGCTGCCCTTCCCAGAGCAGCCCAGGCCAGGATCAGACTCAGGCTGCCAGGCCACTGGGCAAAGAGCCCCAAGAAAGGTCAGAAGTTCCCAAAATTTGCTTAAATCATATTCAAAAGGTATATAAAAAGGGATATGCTATAGAAAGTGATATGCATTAAAAAAAAAGGCATATACTAATTTTTTTTACTATATGTTATAAAAAATTAGAAAGCCTTATAAAATTATACAGAGAAATTAAAATCAACCATAATTCTGCCCCAAGGAAGCAAAACTATTAACATTCTGGTAAATTTTCTTGCAGTTATATTTAGTACATAAATTGGGATCACACTTATACAGAGAGTTTAAGATCTCGATTTCATCATTTAAAAATACCTAGAGACATTTTTCAATATGAGCTCTTAAAAGACAGAAAACCATCACATCAGACATTGTAAAATTCACAGGTTACTGAGAGATGTCATGGCATCCCTAAGAACAGTATTGTCCATTTAAATATAAGTTACATCCAGAAAACTGACAGGAGGAGAGCCTACTGTCTTCTTCTTAAAGGACATATAATAGTAAACTCTTCTTTCTTCTCTTTAGCTTAAAGAGAATCTAGGGAAGATACCCTTGGATCCTCAGCAAAGAGGCACTATATGCAATTTTCCTTTTTTACATTCTCTTATCTTACTTTCCCCTGATAAGGGGAAAGCTTTGAAAATTCACTGCTGGAAAAAATGGTGTCTTACTCAAGAAAGTGCTTAGCAGCTAAAGAGAAACCTCTGGAAACAAGTGGGTATAGCAGGAAGAGCCCTGGACTTGGAAACAGAAAAATGCTGGATTCAGATGTCAGCTCTGTCACTGTAGACCCAAGATCAAAGAACATCCATTTCCCTGCATGTCAAGAGAGATGCCACCACTCAACCCGTAAGGATCAAAGGATTACGCGGATTAAATAAGACTGTGTGAAAAGTGGTTTGTCAATGGTAAAATACATTGCAGGGCCATAATCACTAGTTAATATTATAGTGGCTATTAACAGTACTGTTTTTGTTCCTTAGCTGGCTTGAGCAACTCATTACAGGCACTCGGGGCAGCTTCTAACGGTAGGTAAAAGCATGGACCCTGGAGCCAGACTGCACTTCCCAGCTTGGTGAATCCTTTAACCTCTCAGTTTCTTCATCTATTAAATGTGATTATAATAGTATGCCTATCTCTTAGGACTCTTGAAAGGATTAAAATGAGTAAATTTACACAAAGTGCTTAGAACAATACTGGGCACATAATAAATACTATATAAGGGTGAGCTTAAAAAAAAAAAATTACACTAGCTAAAACTAGTAGGCACACTGTTTTAAAGCTTTCCAGAAAAGTACTATCATTAATCAGAAAGTTGGATGAGCAACCTCTGCTCCCTCACCCCCATCCCAGCTCAGGTTTGGCCTGTTCCCTTCCTACCTTCTCAGCATCCTGCTCAAAGAGCCGCAGCTGAAAGCACTGGTCCAGCTTGAGCTTGCGCACGTGCCACATCTGGTGCAGGTGCTGCCGGGTGGAGTGCAGTTTGTCCAGGAGGCTGGTGATCTTGGGCACCAGGCTCTGGAAGTCAGCACTGCCCGGGATGCAGTTGCGTCCTGAGAAGCCGTCGCTGCAGCGGATGCACTGCAGCAGCCGCTGCCCCTCTCGGTCCAGCTCCTCCACAGGGGCCTTCAGCACCTTTTTCTTGAGCTGTGTGTGCTCATCAATAAGCCGCCGAGAGCCCTCCACATCCACGGGAAACTCCTTCCGGGCTAGCATCTCCTGGAGGTCCTCGAGGCGCGAGAGCAGGTGCACAGCGCTGTTGAAGAACTCCTCCAGGGAGAGCCGCAGTTCGATCCACTCCTCGTGGTTGTAGTCCAGGGAGCCGTCAAACTCCTCCGTCAGCTGGGAGGGGTCCACCAGTTTCGTGAGGCCCTCCACAGATACCATGCTAGTCTGGAAGGGGCAGACACAGACAAGGATACTCAGTGATGTTGGGGGAAGAACAGGGCAGAAATAGGATGAGGGAAAAGGACAAGGTAAGTCCACATAATAATGACCACAGCCTGCCTCAGAAAGGGTGATGGTGAGCCATGGGACTCACTGGCCAGGAGTCACAGATCAGCTGGGATCAGCAGTTTCTACAGACTGCTGACTGCTTTAGCGAGCCTGTCCAACTGCCCCCCATTTACCACCCCAGAAGAACTGCCTTTGTGTCCCTGCTCTCCTCATTTTCCCTCCTCCTGACCCCAAGTTCACTTCAATAGGGTTTCAGATGCTAGAAGCAGAAGCTGGAAGAAAAACTGACCTAGTTTCTGGGGGACAGTTTTCTACAGCTTTAAAACCAAGGCCCGTGGACCCAGGATATCATCATAGTTGGATTAAGCAACGTGGGCCAGTGCTTGGGCTGCAAAGATTTCATAGTCTTATCTTTTCCGAGGCTCTCCCTGTCAGCTCTTCTGTGGTATGGTGAACAGAACTAGGGATGGGCAACAGGGGAGTCTGGGTCCTTGGTTTTCTCTGTGAGTTCCCTACAAGCTCCTGGAGAGCAGAGTGGAGAATGTTTGTCTCCAGGAAGCAAAGTGTCTCCAGCAAATGGTGATGCAGGCAACCACCCTAGTTTATTAGTAAACATCTTTTCCATCCGACAGGGCTTTAGGCTTCTCTTCTTTCTCATGAAGAATGAGAGGCTAGCAAATTAATATCTGGGTTTGGGTCCCAGCCCTACGCTTACTAACTGTGTGACCCAGGGCAAGCTATTAAGGTCTCAGAGCCTCAGTCTCCTCCTCTGAATAATGGAGATAATAATTCCTTCCTGAAGGGGCTTGCAGAGATTAAACATATCAATGTGTATAAAGCACATGGGGTGCACAGCATGGAGTACATGCGCAATCCCTGTTAGTGCTCACTCTGATGACCTGAAGGCTGGATCATTACTCAAAACCTGAAAAGCAATTTATCTCTGTGTCTTGCTACTCTGAGCATTCCCTCTTTGTCCCTTCTCTTTCCACCCCTCTCCTAAGAGGAAGAAAGGAGTTGCCACAGGCAGGAGGGCTGGTCTGGAACAACGGTTGTCAAACTTGACTGCTCATTAGAATCCTTTGGGGAGTGTGCAAAAACACCAATGCTCAAACTTCATCCCTACAAATTCTGATTTAATTGGCTAAATGGGAGCTTGGACATGAGTAGGTTTAAGAGTCCCTCAGGTGATTCTAATGTGCAACTAGAGTTGCAAACTCCTGCTAATCTCCATCCTTGCTACTCAAAGCATAGCTCTCAGACCAGCAGTATTGGCATCACATGGGAGCTTGTTAGAAATGCAGAATCTTAGGCCTTACCCCAGACCTACTGAAGCAGAATCTGCACTTTCAAAATCCCCAGGAGATTTGTGTGCATTAAACTTGAAAAACCCTATTCCAAAGTACCTTCTCCTTCAAATTTGGCTCAAAGTTTACCACTTCCGGGAAGTCCTCCATAATTATACTTACCAATTATGTATAAGTATCTGTTGTTGAACAAGCTTATACTCTCATCTCTGTATCATTTGTCACCCTACTCTGCACTAAGTATGAAATTCACTGTTTTTAAGATACTGCCTTATAAATATTCCTTTGATTGGGAGGCCCCCAGCTATCTCTCCTATACCTCTTATTTAGGAGACAGAGACAAAGCCTGCTCAACTTAGAGTGAAAGAGGTGCAGAGAGATGGGACATGCAGGCCAGCAATGCTGAAGCGTAAGTATCAAGACTTACTGAAAAGATTCTTTTCAGTCTCTTCAGCTTATACATTTATAGGCTTGTTGTCACCACCTCTGTATAAACAAGCCAAAATATAAAAAGCATTTCCCTACAGGACTCCTACTGTTCCCGAGGGGTGCTGGGAGACTATAATAGGTCACTGTTTTTATACCAAGCCAAATTTCTTGTATTGTTTACACAGAGTGAGAATCGCCTGCATCAAGGGTCAGGTCATTGTGCTCAAATCACAGCCTATTTGACACCACACACAGGCGCTCCTGGCCCCCAGGGCGCAAAAGTCTGGAATGGGAAGCTGCTGAAAGATTAAAAGCAGCTCTGCGTTTTCAACACACACACATTTAAAAGCTCATCCCCTTGCAAATGAGGACTAGAATTCCGAGGAAGGGAACAGTTCAAATTTGGCTGGAACACAGACACTTAAATAATTGATTTAATCTGATGTATTGTCATTTAAAATTCTCAGGGGAAACATATAGCCTCTAGAAAATTTAGTTTGAAAACATGTTTTCCTTGATTATGAAAGTAATACATCATCCTTGAAAAAAAAAATATATATGAAGTAAATAAAAACCACCCATTGTCCCGTCACCTAGAATAAACCATCACTAACATCTTCAATCTCAGTTTTCTTTTCCATACATACAATTTAAAAACTAATCTCAGATTATACTATCCATATTGTTTTATCACCTGCATTTTAGTAAACAATAAATATTTTAATACTACTTTTTCTAAATATGGTTTTTCATGGCTTCATAGTATTTGGGTTGTTTGTTTTGTTTTTTTTGTTTTTGTTTTTGAGGAGTTTCGCTCTGTCACCCAGGCTGGAGTGCCATGGTGCAATCTCAGCTCACTGCAACCTCCGCCTCCCGGGTTCAAGAGATTCTCCTGCCTCAGCCTCTTTGAGTAGCTTGGATTACAGATGCACACCACCACACCCGGCTAATTTTGTATTTTTAGTAGAGACGGGGTTTTGCCATGTTGGCCAGGCTGGTCTCGAACTCCTGACATCAAGTGATCCGCCCTCCTCAGCCTTCCAAAGTGCTGGGATTACAGTATAGGCATGAATCACCACACCCAGCCAGTATTTGTGTATTAATGTCACCAACATTAATGTCTAGCAAGGACACAACCTATATATGTGTATGTATATGTACTATATATGTATAAATATTTATGCACATGTGTATATATACTATTGTATAGGAACATATGAGCTGTGATGAACATTCTTGTAGACATTTCTTGTTTGCAATTTTACCTGGCTTTTTACCTTCTTGTTTGTTGAAATTTTGTATTAAGAATATTTTCTAAGCCTGTAATCCCAGCACTTTGGGAGGCTGAGACGGGCAGATCACGAGGTCAGGAGATGGAGACTATCCTGGCTAACATGGTGAAACCCCCTCTCTACTAAAAAATACAAAAAACTAGCCGGGCGAGGTGGTGGCGCCTGTAGTCCCAGCTACTCGGGAGGCTGAGGCAGGAGAATGGCGTAAACCCGGGAGGCGGAGCTTGCAGTGAGCTGAGATCCGGCCACTGCACTCCAGCCTGGGCAACAGAGCGAGACTCTGTCTCAAAAAAAAAAAGAATATTTTCTTAAAATAGGCTGGGCACAGTGGTTCATGCCTGTAATCCCAGCACTTTGGGAGGCTGAGGTGGGCAGATCACCTGAGGTAAGGAGTTCGAGACCAGCCAGGTCAACATGGTGAAACTCTGTCTCTACTAAAAATACAAAATTTAACCAGGCATGGTGGCAGGTGCCTGTAATCTCAGCTACTCAGGAGGCTGAGGCAGGAGAATCATTTGAACCCAGGAGGCAGAGGCTGCAGTGAGCTGAGATCATGCCACTGCACTCTAGCCTGGATAACAGAGTGAGATTCTATCTCAAAAAAAAAAAAAGAATATTTTCCTAAATTAGTTACTAGATACAGAAATACAGTTAAATAGAAGGAATAAGTTCTAGTATTCAATAGCACAGTAGAGGAATTGTAGTTAACAATCATTTATGATATATTTCAAAAGCTAGAAGAGAAGAATTGTAACGTTTCTAGCACAAAGAAATGATAAATGTTTGAGGTGATGGATATCCCATTTACTCTGATTTGAGCATTACACGTTGTATACAGGCATCAAAATGTCACATGTACCCAAAAATATGTACAACTATGATACAGCAATAAAAAAAGAATTGCTACATCAAAGGACATAAACTCTTCCTAAGGTTTTTGATACAAATTGCAAAGTTGCCTCCAGAAATAGTTGTCCCAATTACACAACCAACAACAGTAAATAAGACTGTGTAATGAAGGTGTGCATTTGGGACAATCTTGTGAGCCTGTTGTTCCTCCCCATACTCTAACTGGTAAGGCCATGGTGGCCAAGGAATCCTGAAATCTCAGCCCTTGAGGTGTCACATACTGTATGGTAGATGGAGAAGAGGAAGTGAGGAATGTGTGGATGGCAGAAGGGGAAGGGAAAGAAGATGCTAAGAGAGAGAAATCTGGCTCACCTCAAAGATGAATTTAGAGCTGCCAAAGTTGGTCTTCTGTTTCTGCCAGAAGTTGTCAGGTTTAATGATGAGGGCCACATGGATCTCAGCTGGAAAGGCTTCCTGCAGCGTTTTGAGGAGGGGCTTGATGAGGTCCCACTTGGAGCCCCGCATGTCGATGATGACAGTGAAGCCACGTTTGCACACGTCCTCACTGTGGGGAGGTCAAAGGTCAGTATGGTCACTCTGGATAGCTGAGACTTTGGAGTACACAGTCAAAAAGCACCCGGAAACCTGCACTCCCTTTGACCAGAATCACTCTTCCAACTTCATGTCAGGTCTCTTGGCCACCTTCAAACCCAGCTCAAACTGTATGCCTCAGAAAAATCCTTTCTACATTTGACCAATGGTCCTGGCATTCTGCCTTCTCCCAGCATTTGGCAAATAACTAGGCCTTCCTTTTGCAAGCTGAGTATCCCTAATCTGAAAATCCAAAATCTGAAGTGCTCCAAAACTTGAAACTTTAAGAGGGTCAACATGATGCTCAAAGGAAATGATCGTTGTAGCATTTCAGAGTTTGGATTTTCAGATTAGTGATACTCACCCGGCAAGCAGAATGCAAACATTCCAAAAAAAAAAAAAAAAAAATCTGAAGTCCAAAACACTTCTGGTCCGGAGCATTTTGGATAGGAGCTACCCAACCTGTAGTCAACTGCACTTGTTGGGATGTTTACAATTTGGATATTCACAATTGTATTTTATTTTCATTTTAATTTTTGTCTCACTTTCTTGTTCCTAAAATGAATCATGTTTTCCCCATTGATATTCCAGTTCTCTAAAGACAGAGACCCTGTCGCCTCTTAAATCTGAGATGGAAAGTCCTTGACAGGAGTGTTGTTCTGCCCTGGGCCTACATCAGTGACAGACACTAGTACATCTTACCACTGAGCCCAAACTGGGCCAAAGAATACTTTTTCAAAAAAGGGCTCTAGGTTGATTCTGCCAGTTGATGAGAGATGGTACACAAAGTATTAATAACATGACTTTACCACCATTGTATTTAAGATGTACTACTTTTAGCTTATTATTATTTTTCACTTTTTTTAAGAGTCAGGGTCTCGCTATGTGCACCGGCTGGAGTGCAGTGGCTATTCCCAGGCACAATCACAGTGCACTATAGTCTCAAAACTCCTGGCTTCAAATGATCCCTCTGCCTCAGTCTTCCAGGTAGCTGGGACTACAGCCTTGCGCCACCATGCCCAGCTTTGTGGTTTAAAATGTATGTCAACTTAAAAAATCAGGTCGCTGAGTCATGCTGATCACTCAGAAAGAGCCCAGAGAGGAACTGACTGCAACGGAAGATGCAGACCAGTTGTTTCATGTATTTCCACTGTAAGAGTCACAGTGTGAAATGCATGTATCAGGATGTTAAGGGAGGATGAGGGAGGAGTAACTCTTGAAATCAAGGCAAGATGAAGTGACAGTGACCATCTTGAAAACCAAGACATCAGCAGGCTAAATAAATCAAGATGTTGTTATATAAGTTAGCAGCAAAGTTTAAACACTTGAACTTTGACTATAACTCCTGAGAATAGGAAGAAAAAAAATGAAGGTCAGAATAGTTATAACATCTCAGTTTGGAAGAAAGTCTATGTTTGAGTAGTTAGGGGTCTTCTCTTATTTTTTTTAAAGCCAATCCGTTTATTTTATAATTCAAAATAGACATTGATTACTTCATATTTTAAAATATAAATACCAGCATAGTATTTCCTTATGGTCTTTCACTTAATTTCCCATTTCCCAGACGTTTAAACCACTATGTACGTTACATGACCCACATATGTGCCTACCACATATCAGTTGCTCACAGCTGCTGGCAGTAAGGCCACAGAAGGATTCAGGTCACAAAAAGAAATTAAAACCTTTTGAGGAGGCTTTATTCTCAAATTTCAACCAGTGATGAGATTGTTACAGCCTCATTAAGAGACCACAGCTCTTGACTGTGTGCGTGTCTCAAGCACAAGGTAGATTACTTAGGTGTCCCTGGTACACAGAAAATTCCCCAGGAGAGGGGACTCTCTCCAGCATGAGAGAAAGGATGAGTATTCTCCCCAAATCCTGCATCCCAAAGGAAAGGAGTTGCCTCTTCTTCCCTGACACTTATTGAAACAATGAGTGGCCAAAGTTTTCCATAAATAATTTTCTCTATCCTCTTGTCTTAAAGCAATGTGACTTTTTTCCAAATTACAGGATTTCTTTCCCGTTATAAGAGAAACACCTGATAACTACACAAAAGTTAAAGTAGTCAGAGACCCATGCAAGAGATGCTAATGGTAGGACTTTATAACACCCAGGCCTATATCCTTTCTACCTTTTCTGTGCATATAGTTTTCATACCATGTACTGTTCTACTTTTCACTGTAACACAGTTTTTTCTCATGTCTAAAATTTCTTCCAATCTGTTGCACTTAGTGATAGTCCATCTTATGCCTATACCATAACTTATTTGATCATGCTCTTGATTGCTTTACAGAAAGGTATGTCAACTTACAAGTCCACCAGCAGTGTATGACAGTACCCCCCTTACTCTATCCTCACCAGCACTGGTCATTGAATTTTTTAAACCTTTGCCTGTTTTATTAAAAATACATTGTATTATATTTAAATGTGCATTTATTTGATTACTAGTTACATCTTTTTGGCCTGTAAATATTTCTTCTGTGAATTACCTGATCAACTCTTTTATCCATCTTTCTATTAGGGATTAGAGGCTTTCTTTTGGGATTTAGGGGTTTTATCACTGAACATCATTTAGTGTAGCTTGACTTATATTTGTTGCATGCCCACCTATGTCAGGTTCAGCAACGTTAACTGTGGGTCTTGCCTTTCCTTAGAGATGATTGTCTTCCTTATTTCCCTGCTCCTCAGACTCCATCTGTGTTGCCACAATTTATGCTGACCTGAGAATTCTTTGTTCCTAACAACAAATATTCTGTGTTGCTACCGAGAGCTGGAGGTCAACAATCCCTGCATCTAAAGCTGGTGGTCAGTAGCAGGTTATGCCCTGTTAACTAATCATTTCAGACAACTAAGAGTAGAAATTAGGTCCTAATATTCTATAGGAGGTTCTCAATAACTCAGGAGATGGAGAAAGAAGCCCAGGAGCTGAGGGCTGTGACCTAATCTAATTGGCATCTTTCTGTGAAAAACAGGCTAATCTTCCAAGGTGCTTTGTGTGTTTGGTTTCAAGTAAGGGGCATAGCTGCGAAAGGGGAAACAACTATTTTACTGCGTGCTCATTCTATGCTGGGGCTATAGTTTGGTATTTGCCATACATCATTTCATTATATCCTAATAATAACTTCATAAACTAGGTATGGTTATCTCCATGTGAGAGAAGATGAAATTGAGGCATAAAATTTGCCTCAGATTACATAACTAGTAAGTGGCTAAGCAAAAATTCAAAATGAGGACTGTTGACTTGAAAACCCAAGCTCAGGCTGGGCATGGTGGCTCATGCATATAATCCCAGCACTTTGGGAGGCTGAGGCGGGCAGATCACTTGAGGTCAGGAGTTCGAGACCAGCCTGGCCAACATGGTAGAACTCTGTCTCTACTCAAAAAAAACAACAACAACAAAAAAGAAAACCCAAGCTCAGGTCACTATATCATACTCTACCCTACCACACTGACACTATGTATGGGTGTCTTTGTTTGGGGACAGGAGTTGGGGGCCGGAGATGAGGGGATTAAGTTAGGGGACTCAGAGGAGATGGGATAAATTAGGGCAAGGAGTCTAAGTGAGTGATCTCCCTTCTGCAGTCTGTGCAAAACCACAAAGTCAGAGAAGCAAAAGAGCGTGGCATATTGAGAAAGTTCAAGCAATTAACTCTGGTTCAGGCCTTTGAACGCAAGAGAGTGCAGCTCTGAGTGCCTTGGAGAGTCCCATTCTGGGTTCTGTCCCTCTTTTTGCACACACCCCGCTCCACCCCGGGAGCCAAGATGACTCACCCACATAGAGTCTGCGCTGCACATCCATCTTCCCCTTGTAGGTCAAGCTCCTAGTATCTGAAACCCTAACACTCTCTGCCCAAAGGACCCTTAGTCTACTTCCTGGGCCCATAGATATCTCTTTCCAGGGTCCAATTCCCAAGGGCAAGTAACACCACCATTATGTGTACCCCTAGGCCCAAGGGGTGACAAAGGGCTGCTATTTGAAAGGATGTGGCTAGAATATAAATGAGTGAACTGGGGTGCTCACTTGCATGCATGAGGCGCCCCTGCCATGTAGGGCTGAGCTGGGGAGTGGAGAGAGAAGGCAGGCAGAGCATGAGTGGGGGCTGGTCTACTGTGCTGCCACATTTGGGCCTGGGAGCTCAAAGGAGTCCAACAAATCTAAATTTAAATTTGGCCTTCTAGGTTGCTGTGAAGATATATTTGTCAAGGTAGAAGGACAGAACATGTTTTATTTAACAGTTTGTTAGCTTGCTACATTAATTTTAAATATTCAGACAAAGGGTATGTGAGCTTCCATTTGTACTCTTGCCTTAGGCACCACAATGTTAGAATCAGGCCTTGCAAGAGAAGAGACTGGAGAGGATGTAGACTTCAAATCAGAATGCACTTCGTATGCCAAGGCTGGAGCAGTGGATTTGTCCTAAAGGCAACGAGGAACTACTGAAGGGTAAGATTCAGAGAAGGAATGTGATCTGGTGATTTGGATTGATTACCCTCCAGCTGTGCAGAAGGAGGGTAAATTGGGGTCAGCCCAAAGGAGTGTGTAAGAGTAGAAGGGTCCTTGCTAAAATGACTCTTCATGAAAGTCTTCCATGGACCACCCTATTTAAACCTGTAACTGTCACCCAATACTCCTTATACCCCTTCTGTTTATTTTTCTCCTTAGCACTTATTACCATCTGGATAATATGTTTTATTTATTTACTGTCCATCTTCCCTCACTGGAAAGTAACCTCAGTAAGGGCAGGGAGTTTTTATTCATTTCACTGTTGAATGTTCAGTGCCTACTACAGTGCCTGGTGCAAACGAGGAAGGGGAGGCAGCAGTTAAGGGTATGAAAACTAGAACCAGCTTCCTAGGCCTGAATCCTGGCCCCATCATTTACTTATTGTGGAACCCCTCTGTGCCTCAGTTCCCACAATGTAAAATGTGAATAATAATTACAGGGTTGTCTTAAAGGTTAATAGACATAAATCA